GATTTAAATAAATAAATAGATGAAGCTTAGTAAGACATATATGGAATAAAAAATTCGACTATACTTTAAGATAAATTATAATAATTAGAAAACAGCATCAATACAAAACAAAAAACAATTCATGAGAAAATAGAAGAATTGAGCAGCAATATTGAAAAAAAGAACACTGAATAATTATCAAAATTATAATAAGAAAAATAAGAACTATTAAAAAAAATTAATGAGGAAAAGGTTGCAACCAATTCATAAATTGAATAATAAAATAATAAATTCAAAAATAAATCATCAAAGAAAATAAAGATGTATTTACTAAATAGGAAAAATCAATATCATCAGTTGCCTAATCTATTAAAGAGGAAAATTAGGCAAATGCTTAATTAAAAAAAGAAATAAAGGAAGTTGGAGATCAAAGTTAGAAGGAATATCATAGTTGGCTATAAAAATTGATAATTAGTCTGAAAATTAATTAAAATAAGTTCTGATATGGAGTTTTGGTTGAGGGACAAAATTATACAATACCATTTTGAAAAACGCGCGATATTTAAGAGAGCTCAAAATAATTTGTGAAAAAGTATGTTGAGTCATTAAGACCAAATCTACTTAGAGATGATTACTGGATCAAGATATTTTATATTTTACTAGAAAGGAAAAAAAAACTAATCAAATAGTCTCTTTTGATTTATTAAGGCACAAGAGATGGATTAAATTGTTAATAATATTGGAATAAAGTGAATGGTAAAGCAAATTTACTTATGGTATTTAAATCCAAAAGTGATTACATCTTTGGAGCATACTCTCCTTGTAAATGGGAATCATGTAATGGGAAAAATATAGAAGATAATACATTATCATCTTTTATATTTTCATAAACTCATGATTAAATTTACCCATTAAAATAGGATTCAAAATAATATGCTATTCATTGTAATTAAAATTATGGACCTATATTTGGAAAAGGATATGATATTCTAATAAATGGTAATTTTACAGATGGATATTCAAATTTAGGTCAAGGATACTAATTTGAGAAATATAAGAATGGAAGCAATGATCCATATTTATTTGGATAAGATAAGCCAGAAATAAAAGAATGTGAAATATATGAATTATAATTTGTTTGATTTGGTATATTTATTTCAATTTTACCAAATAATTATGCTTGTTTAAATAATAAAAATGATTTTAAAATAATAATTTAACATTTAATTATAATTAATTTCAAAAGGACCAAAAGTGATTAATTATAACAATTATAAATATAGGTGATTAGATTATTATTAACATGAGAAAAAATCTGAATTGTCAATATTCAACAAAATTATGAATATATAAATTCTTTTAATATTTTTTAAAGAGTTTCCCACCTTTTTTGTTTAGGAAAAAAGAAATAAAATTAAATATTAGATAGGGGTTATCAAGTCTAAGTTATTTTCATTTTTAATCTTATGGGAATGAGTAGGTAGTCTAGATGTAAAAAAATAAAGGAATATTAAGGGGAAAGTTTGAGAATGATATTCATTAACAAAATAACCCAAAAATTTCATCATTTTTCTCAAACGAAATAAGAATAAGAATAAATTTGAGGATAAAGTAGGATAATTTTCTTCTTAAATAATTAGAATCCAATTGTTTGAAATTGGATTAAATTATAAAATCAATGAATTTAGGAATTTAATTTGATAGAGGAATTAATTTTTTACCATTAAAAAACAATATGGTATATGAGTTAACTTTACACTGGTGTAAACAATTTAAATAATTTTTTTTTGTGTAACTTTAAGCAGGAGTCATAATAATAAGATAATGCTTATAAATTAAATATGGGAAAAAGAAGCTTAAAAAGTGACTAAAATTTATAATTTTCGCTTATCGACGCTAGATACAATATTCTTGTAAGGACTAATCCATAATTATAAATGATACTTTAGAAATTAGAATTATTTCTTTGAAGAAGGAAAAGAGGAGATTTTCAATGATTTTTTGATACATTTTATCAATTTTTGATATATAAATATTTAAATTTAAGATTTAATATCAATATGATAATGAATAATTTTGTATTCATCAAATCTAAAATTTATCGGTCGTATTAATAATTTTTAAGAATATATTATTATCTTTTTAGGATCCATTTAGATAGATATTAAGATAGTTTTAAGAAATAATATAATATACCAAATATTTAGTAATCTCTCTTAAATTCAAATATTATGACATCATCATATTTAGGTCTAATTTGATAAATAACAACTAAATATATTAATTATAAATACAAGAATATTTAATATATGTATAGATTATAAAATTATTCAAAAATATAATAATAATTTCTAAAAGTCTTAAACTCAGAACTCAATCATTAAGAAGACAAAAAACCTTTAAGATTATCACTAAACAGTTCAAATTCCAGAATTTATTATTAAATTTTTATATGTATATCATTATTTTATTGTAAATTTTTTTTTAAATAAAATACACCTATCTTTTTTGTTAGACTGCTTCATTATTACTTTTGCTGTTGATTATTTAAATTC